TGGCTGTTTTAAATTCAAATAAAACCGTTAACCTGTACCGGTCCAGCTTTTGACCCGTACTGGTCAATTTTCGTTAGCTGCATATACCAAGGGTGAATATACGCTTTGCATCAAATTATATTTGATTGTTGTAACATGTTAAGAATGGAATAAACTTAAACTTAGCGACACGGACACGGTACATCTAAAGTATACGAGGGTATAATTTTATCACAGTCCTTGTCAATTGTTAGGAGTGCTGTTGCCTGAATGTCAATGCTGAAAATGATTCTGACTTTCCCAAAATAAAATTAAATGATAAAAAGAAAAAAAATACGGAGCAAAGGGGAGTTGAACTAGGGTTCTAGTTCTAACTAAATTATAAACATCTATTACTAATACTCTAACCAAACGCTCTAATTAGTGAGCTATCGCGGATGGCTGATCGAACGGGTTTGTCTTTGTATATTTTGTAGAGACTAATTATACAAGGGGCGATCCATATATTCTGATAAAATTTCGTGATTTTTTCATCTATCCATCTCATGTTTTCGAAACATATAGCTCATGTAATTACACATACAATACTAAAATATAATGGCTCAATCTTTCATTGAATAAGAGATAAGGTTGCCATGGTAACCTGTATTAAGGGTAGGCAGGTCAAAGATAGGCAAATTAATACTTATAAAATATCATGATAATTTATCATTTTGATTATTTTAAATCATGTTTAAATCATGTATCTCTCAAAAAGTTTAGTATTGTCGCTAGTTGTTTGTATCTCAACAAATGTTTATTTGTGCACACTATAACATCGCAATATCTCACCATAGCAATGTGTGACAGAGTGGGTCAATTGGCATAGCGTGTCATGAGACACACCGATGAACAAAATGTCAGATGAGGTTAGTGTGGCTGATGCAGAATGTGATATAAACAGATACATTAGGAGTACCATTAGATTTTATGGACAATCAAGAAAAAGTAGTGGACACCATCAGAGACATATATGGACTCAGAGTTTCAAGAATACATAGTTAGTACTAGCAGACAAGGTCAACAGAGACATACATGAACTCAGAGTGTTTGGGCAAGGTGCTATATCTGATTCAAGAATGCATAGTTATAGTATTGTAAATTTGAGGAAGGCAGGCTCACTGTTGAAGATAATCCACGATCTGGTTGCAAAAAGAGCTTGCGCACAGTGAATAACACATAAAATAATATGAGATGCAATTTATGAAGAGAGAACTATTTCACTGTGGAAACTAGCAGACAACGTCAACATGGGGTTATGAGCAGTTCAACAAATAGTTTACAATGGCCTGAAGATGCGTATGATCTGCATAAGTATATAAGTTACCGAGTAATGATCAAAATAACAAATTGATCCATTTCATACGTTATAATTTATCTGAGCTTCCTACCATAAATACAGGTTTCTATGGCAACCTTATCTCAAAAATAATTTAAGACAAAGCTTAAGTATTCTAGCATTGTATTTGTGATTACAAAATCTATAAGTTCTGAATAAGAATATTTGAAAAAATAACAAAATGAGAGCATTTTTATCTGAATATATGGATCGCCCCTTGTATAATCAATATAGAGTTTCATAGACATAAACTCCTGTCACTGCTGTAGCAGGAATCCAAGTCCGTCAGGAAAATACGTCCGTATATATCAAAGCTTGGAAAATATGTCCGACTAGGACAACGTATACTAGGAACTTATCCGTAGGACCTACGTTCCTAGGATTCCAGGTCCTACGGACTCATCTTCCAATGGGACTCATGGTTACATCAGACTTATGGACAGTCTGATGGATCGGTTTACTTCCATACGTACGCATGAACAGACGGAGTCGTTCTCTATATTTCATTGGCCTTCGTTCGATAGGATCATTATGGCTGAAATAACCCTTTCTTTAGATATGTATGCACAGGTGCCAAAGAGAGTTATATTCCGATTGGAACATCCCACCATCAATTCGCTTACCTTGTAAAGATCTTATCATTTGCAAATCCATTTGTTGCTGTCTTTGATAAGTATATTCACCATTATCTTCAGGGTTGTCCATTGGAAAAGGAAAGATATTCCTCACTGTTTTTTTCTTCGATTCTTGAAAGATTTGTGGCTCAACCTGCTCACTTTTCATTTCAACATCTTGGCCATTACCTCTCGCTGGTGGTCTAAATGTC